TCCATTCGATCATTTTTTCAATATGTACCATATGGGTGAAGTTTGATCCTCGCCTGTCAATAGTAAAATTTGGCCTTACACATATATCACACTGTAACACACAAGTAGACACATGTCGCAATTTAGTTTGTATGAAATAAAATAGAAACAACGTATAATGCATAATAAACAGTTTTGAATCTGGAACCTGAATCGTGGTGGGTAGCGTCGTATCAAGATTAACACCAAAGTAAAGGGGTATATCATGTGACAGCAGTTTGCCGAGCATATTGATTTTGGGCACTATAAGCTGGAATCACTTCCAATCTTTCGATTAGTGTGTAAGCCATTTTGGAAGTAATAAATTAATTTTCACTATCCCACGATTGTCACAAAGGTAACTGACAGCAAATTAAATTCTTTCTTTTCCTTAGCAGCAAATAAATAAACAGGTATAACAATAAATACAGTTCGCCCAGGATATGTATGAAAAGAAATGCGGAACAAATTTTGTGTGTTTTTGTTTTCGATCAGAACAAAATAAGATAAATAAAGGTTTTTCTAATTTTCTCAAAAACGAACGACAGATTTAAAAAAAATCAAACGGTCTTCGAAAGAGCTTTCAAACAAGCTATTACTTGATACCCCTCGCTATTTAAAATTTTTAAGGGAATGACCCTGATGGGCAGAGGGTGAAGTAGTTTTTGATTAAAAAGTTGTCCCCCTTGACAAATCTTCTGACGTGCCTCGACGTTTTTTCCATTAATAAGTTGTTTTAAATCCGTGGTGGGATATACTCAAATGAACACTCTGTATACAGATTCCAAAGTAATGGACCCAAAATGCTGCCTTGAGGGACGTCAAATGGAGTTGTGTGATCATCACCCACATTTAACAGTTGACAGTTTGCCTCGTGTTTTTCTATTTTGGAGACAATTTTCGGTTACCCTTATCATATTGGCGGGTATATCGAGATTATACATTTTGCAAAGGATGCCTTTACGAAGGATACTATCGAAAGCTTCACTTAAGTCAGTTGTTAGCATGGCCTCATGTTCCTTTTTGGCCAACGAATTGCAGGCGTATTTTGCTGTATACTTTATCTGAAGTCACTTGAAACACTGTGAAATACCGGGTGCGTTTTATATATCTATACTTAACCCGCTCTGTTGCCCGAAAAATCGCCAAATTTCCCAGCAAATATAAGATCAAAGGCAGTTTCACCGGTCCACGTGGAGTAAAGCACGCCTATGCGTGGACATAGCCAATGAGAAAGCGTGTATTTCAGAGCTCCGAACAAGTGTAGGTGGCTACTGAAAATTGAAACAGTTTAGCCAGTGCCGTGTAGCGGTGAATAAACGTGTTTTCTGTAGTCTGTCCGTGTTTTTTCATAGATTTTATTAGTTTGTGTGTTTTTGACTTTTGAATACTCAGTTTACTTGTTGATTTAATTGTTGTGTTGATTGTTCTTGTGTGTCCTAAATATGGCTCTTTGGAGACCTTGGGAAAATGCTCCAAGCCACGAGGAGATGGTTGATGAACCTGTGCAGGCAGAATTCTTTCATAAAGATTTAGAGGAACAGAACCAAAGAGTAATCCTAAATATGTATGATTATCTGAAAAACGAAAATCCAGATTCCTCGCAAAATCAAATTTTAAACAGAATTTGTATCCTGACAAAAATCAGTCGGTCTACCATTTATCGGGTTATAAAAAGGGGAGATTTAGTCAACCATTCCTTCCACAGAAAGCGAATAGGGCAAAAATTAAAAAGAATAGACGTGGGTTTTCAGGAAGATATTCGTCGTATAATATACGGATTTTATTAAGAAAATTTGGTGCCCACGTTGGAAATGATACGGGATAAATTAAAAGATTATCCTGAAGATTTTTATAATTACAAATGCTCAGACTCACTGCACTGTATTGTAAAACTGTGTGGTTTTCAATACAAAAAATTAGATAAAAGAATGGTGATTATGGAGTCGTCTCGAATCATTGAATTGCGCCAAGAATTTTTGCACAAAGTTAAAATCTATAGAGAGCAGAAAAGAAATCTGATTTACCTGGATGGAACGTGGTATGATACCCAAGTGCATTTTAAATGCACCATGCAACCAGGCATGAATCCGCATTGGTAAGTTGGTATAACCTTAATTACTTCAGGCTGGATTCTAGCGTGTACCTTGCCCAAAATATTCAACAAGGTCATTGGGAGAAAAGAGGTGGGGTATTTTACCATGTTTATGTTTGAAATACATTCTGCTAAGCTTCCATTAATCTGGGAAGTGTACGACACCACGACGAAATGCTGTCATGTACTTATGCACAGTACTGAGATGCATGACGACTTTTGAGATTCTCATACTTCACGCAGGAGAGAGGCATTTCTTCCTGAAAATCGCTATAAAAAGTATCCACTACTATACATAGTAAAACTGTATTCAAAAGTAGCTATCTTGAAGGAACTTTGATATATTCCTAAGACATGTATTTTGTTGTTTTTCTTCTCCATCAACAACCTAAACTAATTAAAAATTTAGAGATCTTAGTGTTACATTTTCCAGCAGGTTGGACTGTCCACATAGCACGCGTCTCTTCTGATCGACAACGATTTTAGGTTTTATAATGCGTACCTAACAGTCTTTCTTTCTCTAACAAACAAGTACTAAAAACGCGTTGTACGAGTATTTCGATGGTGCAACCAAAACTTGCGTACGCCTCTGCAATATGGGATCTCTCCTATGGATATTATATGAATATTTTGGAAAATGTACAAAGAAATATTGTACATATTAAATTGATGTGGTATATCCAGAAAAGGTGGTCAGTGCATCTGTTCTACTACCATGTTACGACCTAAGGTTTCTACAATTACGACGTTTTATTGCTGGTCTCACTTTTCTACATAAATTGGATGAATCAGAACTTCTAGGGAAGTTAAATTTTTGCGCAGTCTTATCATGTTATTCATCACTGTATTTTATGTGCAATAATTATTTACCACTCTAGGCCGTTCTGGGATTAACTTCGATTGTATCAGTAAAATTCTACCAAATTCCAGTGACTACTACTCTAGCTAAATCTTTTTAGGCTCATTTTATGTTGTTCCTGTTCTTAATTAAGTTATATTGCCCTGTAATTGGAATAGTTTGTTGGGCCAATTATTTATAAATAAATAAATGAATAAGCTGAGACTAGTTCCTTTATTTTGTGTACATGAATATGCAGTAATGTCCGCTTATAACGAACCTCAAGCGAAACTGGTTCGCTATAAGCGAAGTTCGTAATAAACGATAAATAACGCTAATACCAGAAAGTATTTTTCATTAGTTTATTATTCAACTAGGGGTATATAAAATGTTTGTAATAGTATATAATAATATCTATAATCAACATTTATAAGAGTTTTTGGAAATCTTCCTTAAAAAATTCATTTATTTTAGTTTGGTTTATTTTTGTAATATGTAATTCCACTTCAGCTAATCGATCTAGCACATGCTGCGGAGTATTTCGTGACTGAAGGACGAACGCTGTCAATATATCGAAGTGCTTTTGATGTGGTTGGAGTTGGTCTCAGATCCATACCGACAGATTCTTCATCTTTATTTTCCTTTTCTTCGTCATCATCAGTATCAGCTGCCGAATATATAACAGCTACAATGGCATCATTATCCAGGTATTCGACAGTCACAACTTGGTCATCAATATGAACAAACTCATTGAAATCGTTTTCACTATAAGGAAGATTGGCTCTAATATTGTCTCGATGATCGTCTTCCTGCTGAATTTTATTCATCCACTCAACTAATGGCAGGTCATCGTCGGGATCAAAATGATCCTCAACCTCCAAGAAACCCCCATGCTTAAAACAATTTAAAATTGTTCCTTTTGATACATTCTGCCATGCCATATGAATGATGTTTATTGCATCCAAAAGATTGATTGTAAAATTTTCCCCGCCACTATCAATAATATTTACCAGAGAAGAACTTGACGATAATGGCTTTTTAAACTGTGGATTACACCCTGATCCATAGGCTGTAGTTTAGAACTCGTGTATGGGGGTATGAACACTAGGTTAATACAGTCCAAATTTTTAACATCTGGATGAGCTGGACTTGTCTATTCATAATATAATTTTTCGTTTTACGCGGCGTAACTCAACATCCCAATTACGCAGTTCAGCATCAAAAATCTCTGAGGTCATCCATGCTCTTTTATTGGATTTGTAATTAACTGGCAACTGTGAAACGTTTTTAAAACATCGAGGGTTTCTCGATCTTCCAATTACTATATAGCTTTCATTTTTCTGTCCCTGTTAGATTTGCCACTACAAGCAGAGTGATTCTTTCTTTAGATAGCTTCCCACCCTCACACTTCTCGCCTTTGAATCTTAAGGTCCTGTCAGGTGGAAGTTTATAGAATAACGCAGTTTCATCTGCATTGAATATGACCTCGTCTTTGAAGTTCCTTCTAATGATTGGCCACTTGTTCCGCAACCAGTTATTCACACAGTCCATATCAACTGCAGCAGACTCTCCAACAATTTTTCCACTGGTAATGTTATGTCGTCTTTTGAATTTTTCTATCCAGCTTCTACTAAATTTAGGTTCTTCACTCAGTTCTTCATATTTCAATAGCTTCTTCCCAAGGTCTTCAGCCTTCGATTGCAGTATAGTACCACTTATGGTTACTTTTTTATTTCTCTGTTGAGAAAACCATTTTAGAAGTCCCTGATCAATCTTATAATTCGTGGGCTTTTTCATTTTCTTCACATTTATGTTTTGGCCTTTCTCAAACATTTCCAGTATTTTTTTTTTATTTTTCCAAATTGTACCAACCTGTAATTAAAATGAAAAATTGTAAATCAAATTCATGTCTTAGAGTGCTTATTTATGTATGTTTAGGACATGTTATTGTGCAGTACTCACCGTTGATTTACTTAATCCCATTTCAGAACAAACTTCACTTTGCGTCACACCTCCTTGCAATGTTTTGACGATATCGTGTTTACTATTTAATGGTACGTGTACACTGTAGAGAAAATCTACCTAGATTTTAGATTTAGATACGTTCTCTAGGTGAGACTTGTATATGTTCTGTGTACACTATAACATATTTTGGCCCTCGCTAGACCTTTGTAGATATTTCCTAGATTAAATCTATACCAATTTCTCTATGTGGTGTGTACATATCATGGTAGATTTGATCTCGTAAAAACGTATAGGCATTACCTATTGCACCGTAGTTTGTTGGAAGTAGTTTGAAATTTCGCGAATTAAGAAAATTGCAGCTGCCTCTGTTATTTTAATAACGCAGAAGAGAAAAAATGTTGAGCTAAAAAACAAGAAGAGAAGGATGTGGGTTAGGAGCTGGATTTCAAGAAGACAGGATAGTGGTTTTTTTGCTCAATTGGTGAAAAAATTACACAGCGAAGACATGAATTCATACGCTAACTTTTTACGCATGAGTAATAAGGACTATGAATACTTGCTTCAAAAAGTTGAACCATTGATTAGAAAACAAGATACTCATCTTAGGCTAGCTATTTCACCTTCAGAACAGCTCATGCTTACTTTACGGTTTTTAGCAACAGGTGAGTATTGACATGACATGAGTTTGTTTTCTAGGATGTATTTAACTTAAAAAGCAAACAAAAACAACTTCTAATTAAATCATTTTTAATTGTAGGAGATATCTATCATTCCCTGCAATACCTTTTTCGGATTCCAGTCACGACCATTTTAAGGATTATACCTGAAGTTTGTGAAGCGATATTTACTGTGCTAAAAACGGATTATCTCCAGGTAAGTAATTTTCGTAAAACTGCGTGATTGGAGGAAGGTTTGTAGTTGTATTTGTTATCGGTGCCTCTTCAAAACTTTCAACCGTATTTGAAGTTGATATGTATGTACTCGAATGTGAATAAGTAGGCAGCATTAAAGGTGTAAGTGTTCTAGATCCAGAAAACTCCACTTGATCTTCCTCGCTCATTGCAACTATAGCTTTCTGGATTCTTCGTTTTAATCTTCTTTTTCGTTCATCAGAACGCAGCTGCCGTAATTCACTAGCAACATATTCACCAAATACGGTATACTCGTCAGTTGGTGTATTTAGTATGTTTTTAGCCTTTTCTAGCATTGCATCACCTTCCTCGTCCGTTTTTTCCTTGGCTTTGGTTTTTAGTTTTTTCGAACGATGAGTTGTAGTATTTAATGTTGTTGGTTTTTCTATGCTTTGTAATTGAGACTCCTCCAGAAAATCTGAAATAAAACAAAAGTAGCGAATAAGCTTATTTTTAGTTTTGTAATATTACTTTTTCTTTTAGATCCCAAACTCTCAGGAAGAATGGTATGAAGTTGCAAAGGGATTTGAGGAGATTTGGAATTTTCCAAACTGTTTAGGTGCTCTAGATGGCAAGCACGTGGTTATGAAAGCACCAAGGAATAAAGGCAGTCTTTATTTTAATTATAAAGGAACACATTGCATAGTCCTCATGGCACTAGTTGATACAAAATACAAATTTCTTTATGTGGATGTCGGATGCAATGGACGCATATCTGATGGTGGCGTGTATGCAAACTGTTCATTGTCAAGAGCATTAGAAAACAACATGTTAAACATGCCAAAACCAAGGCCATTATCGGGTGAATCTGAAGATGCACCTTTTGTTGTTATTGCCGATGATGCTTTTGCCTTGACTTCCTATTTATTAAAACCTTTTCCTTTCAAAAACCAACCCGGATTTAATCGTGTTTTTAACTACAGAATATCAAGAGCAAGGCGTGTAGTTGAAAATGCTTTCGGACTGATCTCGGCTCGATTTCGTGTTCTTAGACGACCAATAGACCTACCTCCAGAGAAGGTTAAGAAAATTGTACTTGCAATATGCTCTTTGCATAATTTCTTACTGACCCAAAAAAGTTTGGCACATTTATATGCCCCAAATGGAATATTTGATACTGAAAATGATGGGAACGTTATCAATGGGAGTTGGAGAAATGGAGGAAATCCTATAGCTAATATGGTTCCTTTACAGACTACAAATGTTAGAAACCCATCGAAAACAGCCAAAGAAGTACGAGAACAATTTAAAAATTATTGTGTATCCAAACATGGTGAAGTCGCCTGGCAGTATAAATATATATAAACATAATACCATTTTATCTGCTTAATGTAATATATGTTTCTAATGCTGAAAAAATGTTTACTCACCGTATCCCTAAAGTTTGCAGTGCTTTTGGTGCTCCCAGAGCAACCCATCATGAACTGTAACGCATCATAAAATTCCCACTTACTTTTCCACAGTCTATCATCAGTTCCATCTCCACTTTTGGTTTTTTTAATTTTCCTTATCTCCGAATTCATTTGACACCTTAAATTATGCCATTTTCTTTCCACTTCGGCTTCAGTGGTTTTTAACTGATCTGCTATATTTTTTATAGCTTGAGCCTTTTTATCCCGATCTCTGTACTCCTTCAATATGCAATTCCAAAGTTCTGGATGTGCCTCGTACATCTCAATTAGCTTGAGAGTACTTTCTTTGTCCCATTTCATAGCTTTTTGCTCATTTACACTTGGTGGGGAAGCCATGCTTTCAACTCATCGAATAGAGCGAAACAATGCGAGAGTGATCTAGAGAACTAGTCTCAGTACTGTGTCTACTACAACCCTACCTAGACTAACGTCGCGCTACCGAGAGTATTACGCCACACTCGCTAGAGCAGTCTCAGTAATATGTACACTATAGACTTAGTCTAAAGCGACTCTAGCTAGCGCAAATCTCGGGGAAAAATCTATAGTGTACACGTACCATAAAGTAAGAGCTTTACGTGTTTTCTTAGAAATTGCGTCACTCATGATTTCAAGAGTGCAGAGCACTGAATACAACGAATATAGAAGGTATCAGACTAAATGGCGGTGGCGGACTGGCGGCAGGCGCTGACGATTCCTCATACCCCACCACGCGGTCGGAAGATTTCGGTTACCTGATTCTGGTAAAATACAGTTTTACGCTCGTTATAACCGAAAAGAAGGAATACAAATCCATATTTATGCTAAACATACATGGGCGTCCATCATTTCTCTTTCCTTTTGGTGTCAATATCCGCTTAATAAGATGCACGGCATATCGAACCATCGTCAGAACCCTCCTGACAGTTACCACCTGTTTGCGGTCCAAAAATTATTCGCAGCCGAGTTGTCCCTCTCGCCTCTCGCTTCAGTTCAAAGGGGACCGTTGCTTGAATGGGTAGGGTCGGCATAAGGCCGACAGCTGATGCATTAAGTCGGTTCCGACCTGCTGGGCACAGGTGAGCCTATGCTGAAATCGGAGCACTGATTTCCTTTAGTCAGTGGAGCGTACTGTCAAAGGAAATCACAAATCACCTTGAATGCAGTTAGTACTAGGTACAGCTGTTTTTTGATTGGGATCTGAAAGACATTCGCCCTTGAAGACTATTGGAACGGTATGACAGTCACATGAAAATGGAACAATACTCTGTTGTTCATAAGTTTCGTAATCCGCGCTCTTGCTGCTTAAGCAGACAGAAGAAAGCGGACAGCCGTTTTGACACTGATTTAAGAAAGCATACTTTATCTGAAGTCACTTGAAATAGCATAGAAACCTTTGGTCGGCGAGTCCTTTGTAATTTCATCTTCTTATTTTTTTTGATTTGGGATAAAAAATACTTATATTGGGAGTTTAATTTATGTTGACTGAAAGTTAAGAAATGGAAAAATTACAGAATTCCAACGTTTGACATAGGCAAATATTTACATAGCAGGTAGGTATATAAAAAGGTATATAAAGACTTACATTATAGGTATTTATATATCATCCTCGCCTTCGGAGCTGTCGCTAGAGTAATCTTGTAGAGGAATTACAACGGGATTTACAGGAGGCAAAACACAATATTCATTTTCTTTTTTAATAATATGCCTAGAACACTGCTTCCATAGGTCTGTGGCAGCAATATGAGATACTGCATCTCTTATTGTGGCCAATAGCGATTCACTTAATTGAGGGGTCTGATTATGTTTTCTTACTTTTTTTTTAAAGCAGCCCAGACCAACTCAATCGGGTTAAAAATGCAGTAATAGGGAGGTAGACGTAATACTTCATGGCCATTTTGCTGAAGCAGATTGTCAACAACAAACTCTTTTTCAAATTTTTGTCTTTTAATAAGATCCAATAATATGGCTTTGGTTGATTTTTGTGGTATTTCCATTCCCTTATCCTTCATAAAATCAATAATGTCTTGTTTTTTTGTGCCTGTATTCGGAATTTTGTTTTTCTGTCGGGAATGGTATGGCGCATTGTCCATAATAATCACTGAATTTGGGGAAATGTTTGGTATTAACTGCTGCTCTATCCACTTTTCAAATAAGTCGGAGGTCATGTCCTCATGATAGTCGGCACATGATTCTTTGATATTTTTGGCAGATAACAGCAAGGCATTAGGTATAAATCCACTTTCACTGCCAGCATGGAGAATAATGATTTGTTTTCCACGGTTGCATGGTGCATTTAAAATGCACTTGTTGCTGTCGTCAACCCAGCCATACTGCACAACATCATGGGTATCATACCACGTTTCATCCAGGTAAATCAGATTTCTTTTCTGCTCTCTATAGATTTTAACTTTGTGCAAAAATTCTTGGCGCAATTCAACGATTCGAGACGACTCCATAATCACCATTCTTTTATCTAATTTTTTGTATTGAAAACCACACAGTTTTACAATACAGTGCCGTGAGTCTAAGCATTCGTAATTATAAAAATCTTCAGGATAATCTTTTAATTTATCCCGTATCATTTCCAACGTGGGCACCAAATTTTCTTTATAAAATCCGTATATTATACGACGAATATCTTCCTGAAAACCCACGTCTATTCTTTTTAATGTTTGCCCTATGCGCTTTCTGTGGAAGGAATGGTTGACTACAAATTCTGTTTAAAATTTGATTTTGCGAGGAATCTGGATTTCCGTTTTTCAGACAATCATACATATTTAGGATTACTCTTTGGGTCTGTTCCTCTAAATCTTTATGAAAGAATTCTGCCTGCACAGGTTCATCAACCATCTCCTCGTGGCTTGGAGCATTTTCCCAAGGACTCCAAAGAGCCATATTTAGGACACACAAGAACAATCAACACAACAATTAAATCAACAAGTAAACTGAGTATTCAAAAGTCAAAAACACACAAACTAATAAAATCTATGAAAAAACACGGACAGACTAAAGAAAACACGTTTATTCACCGCTACACGGCACTGGCTAAACTGTTTCAATTTTCAGTAGCCACCTGCACTTGTTCGGAGCTCTGAAATACACGCTTTCTCATTGGCTATGTCCACTCATAGGCGTGCTTTACTCCACGTGGACCGGTGAAACTGCCTTTGATCTTATATATATATTTGCTGCGAAATTTGGCGATTTTTGCAACAACAGAGCGTGTTAAATATAGATATATAAAACGCACCCGGTATTTCACAGTGTTTCAAGTGACTTCAGATAAAGTATACCTGAAAGCGTACTACGTTTACTTTGTGTCTTTTACTATTTATTTCCTTTATGCGTTCCTAAATCGTAAGTAAAATGTATTGAAAAATAAATAATTTACAAAAACCCTACATAGCCCTGATTTGAAGACAATAATAATAATATTAATATAATTTATTTGTACTTAAAATACACATACACTACACAAAGAAACAAATTATTTCGAGAACAAATAAATGGAGAACTCACAGGATGGTCCTTGTGCGCGCAGAAAAAACCACAAAATTCTCATGTACTAACAATAATATGATAAGAAGGTATCCTTCATTCTGATGTAACGTATAAATGCTGTATGTGTGTCAATTCGGGAGAAAATGGCACTTGAGGCAGTATTCCCCAGTTCGTTTTTTATGGTTTAGTATGTTTAGAATCTCAATCCGGGTGAATGGCATTCGGGAATATAGTCTAATCTAAGGTTTCTTGCCAATCTTATTGTTAAGGTCAATAACTTGGTGTGTATTAGACATTGGTAAAGCCATTATACATGTTTTTACTTTCTTCTAAAATAGACCATGTGAGCTAGTTTGTTTGCTACAAATCTTCAGGGAACATATTGCAACAGCTATGGCTCAGGAGGCTATAGGACCTTTGTAAGACAGGTTCTGCAGGTTTAGGCATAGTAAAGGAACTTCACATCATTTTATTAGTTTTCTCATTATTCTCTTCGAAATTAAAAAAGGATTCCAAAGGCAATTTTGACAACTGAAAGGGGTCTGGTTTGCGTGACTAAACCCAGTAAAATCCAGTAAAATGTCAAACAAGCATCTAAATGAGTAAGAAATACGGATCTCGGATATTACTATACTAAGTGACATATAAATCCGAACACCCAGTTTAAATGGTTTTATTTTAATAAAATTTTGTATAAGTACTTAATGAAGCATAATAAGTAAATGATAAAAAATTCAAAATGATTGCACTGCTTTAAAGCCCTTTGACCTTTAATAATGTGTGGATGCACCCTGATGTGCTACGCATTCTCCAACGCGCCTAGGCATGCTTCTGATCAGGTGGTCAATGTCCTCCTGTGGTATCTCATTTCAGGCAACCACCAACTCCTCTCCAAGTGCTTCTAGAGTCTGAGAAGGACGTTGCAAATTGAGCAATCTCCTACCCATCATATCCCACACGTGCTCAATTGGGGATAAGTCGGGAGATCTTGGTGGCCATGGTAACAATGTGACATCATTATGTTGGAAGAAGTCTATTGTGACTCTTGCAACATGTGGTCGGGCATTATCTTGTTGGAAAGTTGGATCTGCCAGGGTGTCAAGATGGGGTAAAAGATGGGGTTCTAGAACTTCATGGATATAACGCTGCGCGTTCATGTTACCTCTGATGGAGATTAAAGGTGACCGTGAAACAAAAGCTATAGCACCCCAAACCATAACTCCAACAGTGTGATGAACATGTCTTTCAACAAAAAACTGTGGATTCCTCCTTTCACCACGTCGCCTTCTAACCCTGGCACGACCATCGTGCATGCCTAAACAAAATCGAGACTCGTCACTAAAGACAATACTGTTCCATTCCTGATCCCAGAGTGACCGTTGTCTGCACCACTCAAGGCGATTACGTCGGTGTTCTCGAGTTAAAGGGAGGACCCAGTGTGGCCGGTATGAAAACAAGCCA